AAAAAATTGTTAAATAAAAGAAAATAAGATAAGATAAAAGAAAAGAAAAAATATTAAAAAATAATACTATGGTTACAATAAAGTAAATCAAAAATTAAAGTAAAATGAAATAAATAAATAAATAAAAGAAAATCTAAATTAAAAATAATTCCCCCTCTTTTAAACTCTCTCTCCTTTCGCCTATAGCCGGCTGAAAATCGGCCACCCGCCGGTGATCATCCGCCGCTCTAGCCACCGCCCAAACTCTCCAAAAATATTCCTCCCAACTCTGGGAACCCAAAACTCCCCAAAAATGCTCCACCCAACCCCTGAACCCGAAACCCAAACCCCAAATGCCCTAAAAACCACTCTCCCGTCGTAGATCTAAAAAGAAGACATGATTTTAACCTTTTTTATATTATATACGTTTCAAAAATCGTTTTTAAAACTATGTATATTATACGTTTTCAAAAATGTGTTTTCAAAACTATATAATATATGTTTTCAAAAACGTAATTTTCAAAACAATATTATATATTTTCAAAACCGATTTTTAAAATCTATACATTATATGCTTTCAAAAACGTTTTCTAAAAACTATGTATTATATGTTTCCAAAAAATATTTTCAAAAATTACATTATATTATTATATATACACTAAATAAACCCCGGACTAAAATGAGTGGCTACAATAATGATCATAGTTGTGGAGAAAAAAATAGGATAAACAACACAAATAAACTACACAAAATAATCACTAATGTTTGAGTAAGTTTTCATTTTTCACTGAACTTTCAAAAGTTACAAATTGATCACTAATGTTAACGACTTATAACAAAATAGTCACTAATGTTATCGATTTGTAATAAAATGTTCACTAATGTGGGTGGTGGAAAGCTGAGTTGGACCATTAAATACTTACTTAAACCGTTAACCGTTTACCTAGACCATTGATCGGTCACCCCACTACCATCACCGTCTTCCTTGTTCTCCTCTTCCTTTATCTACTCACTTTCTATTTTCTCCTCCTCTCTCAAAATTAACAGTAAAAAATAAAACAAAAAAACACTTCGAATCAATTCAGAATGTTATGCCTCGAGAACTCTTGATTTTGATCAGCCAATAAATAAAAAATCCATGATAAGGAACTAGAAATTCTACCATTCTCATAAATTCAATATGAGAAATGCATGCAAAAAACAGGGATAAGCTCCTGAATCTTCAGCTACATTCATCAGTTGGAATATGATTCCAGTATCTTCAATCATCAATCCCCGTTATATGTAATCCCTATGAAGATATTGCCATACATAAACCACATATGCTCTTATCTAGCCATACTTTCTGCAAAAAGAACAAAAAAACTGGAGTTGAATTAAGAACACAACTAGATTATTAATATGATTTGTATGTTCTTTTGAATGATTTATGTCGTAATCGATTTTTGCCCGGGCACGAAATTTTACTTGGTGGAAAAAGTAATGTGAATAAATAAATGGCTTTTTTAAAGAAATGTTTTGGAGTCATCGTCGGCCTTTTGGATCAGATAGGTCGAATACCTAAAAATCATCTTTTAAAAGAGATTTTAAGAAAACATCAGTTAAAAGATAAATTGGTTTGTGTTTAACCAAAAATTCGTTCTTTTTAATAATAAAAAGGGATTCGTGATCGATTAAGTTTGGAGAAGGATTAGCACCCCTACAACGCCCAAAATTGGTCTCTGTCGATTATAAATTGTCTCTAATAATAGAATTTAAGAATTCGACTATAAATTTAATTTATGATCTTTTCATATTCAATTGGATAATAAGGAAGAAAAATATTAAAATAATTTTTATAAATTATAAATAAAGTATTTATTTATTTAAATATATTAGAAAAGAACATCTAGTTGCATTAAGACTGCCTTTTCTTTAATATTAATAAATAAATAAATATCAATAAGAATATAATAATTTTTCTAAAAATAATGAAGTAAATATATATATATATATATATATATTTTTTTTTTTTATAAGAAGGATATTTATTTATTTTTAAAGTACCAGAATATGACGTCTAGTTTTTTTTAAGACCGCCTTTTCTTAGTAATTAAAAATAAATAATATTATTATTTAATCTTCATATATATATAATATATATATATATATATATATATATTAATATGATTAAAAAAATAATATAAATGAAGAACAAAATATAATAATTTGAATAGAACTAAATAATTATATATGTATATTAAGATATTTATTTATTTAAAATATTGAAATATGACTTCTACTTAAGTTAAGACAGCCCTTTTCATAATATTTAAAATAAATAAACATTTTTTATTTAATCAAATATATATATATATATACAAATAAATAATATATAAAATATTAAATTAAACATATTGAAATAATAAAAATAAATTGCAATTAAATAGTGACTAAAATAAATAAAATTAAAAATAACAGAAATAAAATGTAAAATATTAAAATTTACAACTCTAGTTTGAAATATTATGAGATTTAAGTACTAACAGTGTAATTTATCCTTTATTAATTAATCGGGTTAAAATAAATATTAGTTAAATATTAAGGGACTAAATTGGTTATTTACCCTAAATATATATAATTACTGGTAATGACTAAAATGTAAATTAATTAAAATTCGAATGCCGAATTACTCATAAATCATTTTAAGTGACTAAAATAAAATATTACAAACTATCAAGGATTACGAGATATATTTAATCATGCGCAGAAATTACACATACACCCTTCCCCAAAATGACGTCGTTTAGGGAGAGGTATATAATCCCCAAAACCGGTCCCCTTAAACCATTTCCTTTCTTTTTTCTTTTTTTCATTCTCTCTCTAAGTGAGAGAGATGAAAAAAAAACTCTGCCCTCTCTCTTAATTTCTCTCGCCGGAGGGAAAACCATCGTCGGTCGGTCGCCATACGCCGCCGCTGACACCGCCGCCGGTGGTCGAAAAATATAAAGTCCTCTCAAAAGATAGATCGAAACGATCTAAAACCGAATCCGACCCCCATTTCCCAAAAAAACATCCTATTTACATAGATTTACAAAAAAATACCTTTGGTATTTTGTTTCTACTGCGAGATTTGGAGGCTTCGGCGACTGTGTAGCTTCCACGGCGGTAAATCCTTCACTCTCTTCTTTTTCCTTCGGCTTTGTATTGTGGGTTGTGTGGTTTTCTTTTGAATCTCGTTGTTGATGGATTTTTTCGTAGGAGCGGTTGATGGATTCTTTCGTAGGAGCGGTTGATGGCTTTTATAGTTATCACCGGTGCTTGCATCAGACCGGGTAGTAAGGTATCCTTCGGTGAGTCACCGAACCTCTGGTGGTGACTCATCGTTGAAGCGACGTGTATGGTTGTAATGGGTCTTCTGGAAGCTTCGGTTAGCGTTGTGGCAGCAGTTGAGCGGCGTGGAGGTGGTGGCAGCAGAGGCGGCGGCCGCGTGGCCTTAGGGTTATGATATCCTAGGGTTTTCTGTTGGGACCATCTGGACCATTGGATCAAGGCCAGATCCAACGGTGGAGAAGAAAGAAGGCTGAAGAAGATGAAACAAACCCTATGAGGGTTCTGTTGGGCCATTTGAACCGGATCGGGTTGGGCTTGTAAACGGGCTTAGGGTTGTAATTGGGCTTGTAATTATTTGTAATTAATAATAATAATATTTAATATTAATAATTATTATTATTATAATGATAATAATAATAATAATAATAAATTTTAAAATAGAAAAAATTATTATCTACAATTTAAAAATAAATAAAATCCCTGAATAAATTTATCAAAGACTTCATGAGAAAAAAAAACGAGTCCACAAGAAAGTCGAAGACCCAGAAATTAAATTCCCAGATTTTCTCGGCATCCAAACAAAAAATAGGCTAAAAATAGAACAAAAAGCATGCATTGATTCCACCATTAGGATTATTAACTCTACAGATCCTTGAATAAATGTCTCGTTTACCCAGATTTTCATGCACGGAGGGAAGAATTGTATCAACAAGAACTTGATAATTGGGTTGAAGTTTCGGTTCCCAAACAAAATCAGCCCAAGAAGCACCTCTGCTCTGTTCAACGTCGCCAGTTTACTTATCTTCGGCGATCCAAAGATTCAGTAATTATAGCCACACAGCTCTCCAGCGAATCCCCCAAACTTGGTGATGAAGATGAAGAATCAGATGATAAACAATCGATGATGAACAAAGCAAAGAAATTGACACACATCGAGAGAGAATAAAACAGAGAACAAGAGAGCTCTATAGCAGATTATTAATTTTATAAAATAATGGGAGCGAGAAACAGAGAGGTGAAAAACATGAACACGTGCTTGGTATTTTGAGAATATTTGTTTTTTCTGAGTTTTGTCTATTATTTATATTTGATGATGAACAAGGGGGATAACAGAACATGGAAGACGTGTTTTCTTTTCTGACGATTAATGGAGGAAAGGTGTTCGATGATATATTAATAGTGATAGCAGCGTTGAAAGAAATGAGATGGTAGAAAGACATGAGATCCGATCAGGGAAAATAGGATTAGGAGACCGAAGCGGAGGTAGGAGGGGTAGGAGAGAATAAAAAATGAATATAAGAAGGCAGAGGAGAAAAATGAAGACGATGATATGGTGGTAGAAGGACATGCCCGAAAACTTAGAGGCGCATTCATGGCTGAACTGGCGGAGGCTGAAGCTTTTCGAATGGGGATTGAAATGGCCAAGGAAAATGGTTGGCCTAAGGTGGATATAGAGGGGGACTCCTTTGCCGTGATTAACAGGCTGCGTTCCAAAGATGTCGATCTATCCATTGTGGGTATTCATCTTTCAAACGTTCGTTCTACCTTGGCTAAATCCCCCCTTCTCACGGTTGGAATTGAATGATTGAATGCTATCCTTTGCTTAAAAAAACAATGCTAATGACCAATATGTAACTTTTGAAACTTCAGTGTAAACAATAAAAATTCATTCAAACATTAGTTACCATTTGTGTTGTTTATCCGAGAAATATAGAAGATGGCCAAACTGAACTATCGGCTGATAAGTTGTTAGCATCATCTCTTTTGGATCGTAATATTGGTGATGATCATCATAATGATCATAGTTGGAAAAGGTGGAGTGTTGAGTGGTGACTCGAAAATTATCTAGTAGGGAAATCGGAGGAGGAGTTCAGTTGGGGAAGTTATTGTTATTGGGTAGGAGGAGGATTGAGAGAGATAATTCATGATATAGTTGAACAAGACCAAAATAGCATGGGCGGTGGTGTGAGTGAAGAGTTTGATGATGGAAAGCATGGTTCTATGGTGGGTATAGAGATGAAGAGGGCATTGTTGATCATTTTTTGCGGTAATTTTCTTGATTGAATTTTAGTGAGCTAAAATTGAAGAGGCGATCGGTTAACAAAGAATTCGACAAACTTTCTAGCATGGTGATCAACTATTTAGATAAACGATTAACGAACTATGTAAATTTTATGTTACTTGCGTTAAAAACAGTTGACGTCAGTGACTAATTTATTATAAATTGACAACGCTATAAAATAATTTGGACCAGACCCACCGGGGTCACTCTCACTTTCCAAACCAAAGGGCACAAAGCATATGATGTGGGTAATGGCGTGATTCATTTCATGTGGTAAAGATGAGGTCATTATGTGCCTCTTCTAACAACATCGCCCCCTTCCCTTTTCTTTATTTCTTTCTTTCTTCTTTAAAGGGGAGCATTATTAATTAACCCCAAATCCCCGGTTAATCCCACGCACAAAATTTCAACCCACAATTTTGATGGCCTGAATTTGCGATGGAAACTAACTCCATTTCACTAACCAATTTCTCACCTCTGACTCGCCCTTTACGCCGTCCACGACTCGGACGCTTCAACTCTGTCGACTTTAAACCTTTGTCTTTCTCTCCCCTCTCCACCCGCCACAAATCCCTCTTTCTTCCCCTTAATTCCTACAATCACCGAATCCGCTGCGTCCCTCATCACGACCACCACCATAACCATCACGACCATCATCATGATCATGACCACGACCACGACCACCACCACCCACCACCACCATCATCATGGTTCTGGTAAGTTGAATGGTTCCCAGAGAGCCGTGATCGGGTTCGCTAAAGCCGTTCGATGGAAGGACTTGGCCAATTACTTGCGAGAGCACCTTCAGCTCTGCTGCTGCGCCACTGCACTGTTTATTGCTGCCGCTGCTTGCCCTTATTTGGTCCCCAAACCAACTGTCAAGCCTCTCCAAAACGTCTTCCTTTTCCTCGCTTTCCCTCTCGTCGGGGTAAAACTCCATTTCTCTTTTAAAGTTCCCTTTGGTAGTTTTATGATTATTTTTTGCATCAAATACAGTTCTTCAAATAATTTAAGTTTTTTAATTTGTAAATGAAATAAGAAGTAATTATGTTTGATTCAGCAATTGATTTTACTATACTTTAAATCACCTTTAATTGTATTGCATTTTATCTGTACCGGTCAGGTTTCAGCGGCACTAGATGCCATTACTGATATTGCTGGTGGAAAAGTGAACATTCATGTACTTATGGCACTTGCTGCCTTTGCCTCTGTCTTTATGGGGAATGCCTTGGAAGGAGGCTTGCTTCTTGCAATGTTCAATTTGGCTCATATATGTGAGTGTTTCAAGCTTTGTTGAAATTTGTTTCAGAGGCGTACTATGTTTCTTTCTTGTGATATTGACAGTTGGTTACTTGCAGCTGAAGAGTTTTTTACTAGTCGTTCAATGATAGATGTAAAGGAGTTGAAGGAAAACTATCCGGATTCAGCACTTGTACTAAATTTGGATGATGATAATTTGCCAAATGTTTCTGATTTGTCATACCGAAGCATTCCTATGCATGATGTGGAGGTTGGCTCCTACATTCTGGTCACCACTGGTGAGGTCTGTGCTAATCAGAAAATGAATTTTATTTTGTTAATATTTTAAAGATTTTTTTAGTTTTATGTTAGAAGGAAAAGTTAAATGATTTGAGCTGGTACTTCTCTAGTCTGTTCCTGTAGACTGTGAAGTGTTCCAAGGTAGTGCAACAATTACTATTGAGCATTTGACTGGTGAAATCAAACCATTAGAGGCAAAAGCTGGAGATAGGATTCCAGGTGGAGCAAGAAATTTGGATGGTAGAATAATTGTTAAGGTGTGTTTATGAGTTTTCAGAACAGTAAATGTAGAACAGTTGGACTTGTAGTCTTTTATCTTCTGAAATTGTTTATTGAAAAAGTAAGTAAATTGTTTTCTTCCACGGAACTATATTTTGTATCAGTTCTAGTTCACATCCTTCACTTATGTATTGGGTATTTTCCCTTGATAATTTCATATTAGGTACTAAAGACATGGAAAGAATCAACACTTAACAGAATTGTGCAGTTAACTGAAGAAGCACAATTGAATAAGCCTAAGCTTCAAAGGTGGTTGGATGAATTTGGTGAACGTTACAGCAAGGTGGTGGTTGTTTTGTCAGTTGCCATTGCAGTTCTTGGACCTTTTCTTTTTAAGTGGCCATTCATTAGCACTGCGGGTAAATCTTAGTATAAGCTGCTTTGCACTTACCTTAGGTGTTTCTTTCTATTGCTTTGTACCAGTAATGTTGTTAACCATGGTATGCACCACTTTTATCATGTAAGGAAGGCAACTTCTGCTTTGCACTTACCTTAGGTGTTTCTTTCTATTGTCTAAGGTTTTTAAAAAAAAAAAAATCTTAAACTAACCTTCCCCCCCCCCCAAAAAAAAGAACAAAAACTAATTATATTCACCTGATGACATTACACGCCTAAGTCTTCTTCAACCCACAACCTCGAGTCTGAAAAGCAGCATTGGTGCCAACTGTGCTAGTACTTACCTAGCAACATGTCTTTGTTTTAGTAATCTTAACTTCTGATAACTCCACTTGGCATCAGCTCTCGCTGAATATTTAGTCTTTTTAGTTTGAAGCTTTACTTGTCTTGTTATTGCTCTTGACAATTCGTTGATAGTGTCACTGTCATTTTCTGTTTTTTCACTTCACCTGTCTGATGCTTGGTGTTGATTATGCAGTTTGCAGAGGATCAATCTACAGGGCTTTGGGGCTTATGGTGGCAGCATCCCCATGTGCCTTGGCTGTTGCTCCACTAGCGTATGCTACTGCTGTTAGTTCCTGTGCGAGAAAGGTAGTGGTCATGTTTACATGTAATCACGGAGTGTTCACACACTTTCTATCACTGTGTCAGTATGGTTTTTCTCAAGTTTATACAAACCTTATTAGTAAATGTATTTATTTTCATTTGTTAAGATAGTGGTCGAAGCTCACTGCATTGCAATATGGTTTTAACTATGATTTTTCTGATACCTTAGACTCAGTCTAACCATTGTTAGTTTTCTGTACTTCAGTTGAATCATCAGCTAATATTAGGCTTTTGTTCTATTTTTTACTGTGCAATTAGTAGAATCATCTTCCTAGTACCTTTTTAAATCGTGTATCCTCATGTGTATGTTTTTCTGATCATCTTTGCCTTGCACAAGTTTTTGTTAAAGCTAATAGGTTTTCCTTTTATTGGATGGTAAGAGATCATTTAAACAAGCCTGTTTACTTGATGATGCTTGTAGAAGGGCTGGATTTATCTAATTGCTTAACTATTAAGGCACTCTTTTGGTTTTAATATGAATCTTGATGCACCTGACCTTCTCCCATCTAACTGCCATTCTAACTCTCTTTATAGGGGATCTTGCTCAAAGGTGGGCTAGTGCTCGATGCTCTAGCTTCCTGTCACACTGTTGCCTTTGATAAAACTGGGACATTGACAACTGGAGGGCTTATGTTTAAATCAATTGAGCCAATTTATGGACATCTGACTGGGAACAAGAAGACAAATTTTTCTTCCTGCTGCATTCCCAGCTGTGAAGCAGAAGCACTTGCAGTAGCAGCTGCTATGGAGAAGGGTTCTACTCATCCTATTGGAAGGTAATGCATAAAATGAAATTGTTTATCCCTTGTATGTTGAGTCTGCATTCTGTGTACCTCATTCTGTGACCATGTGTATCTTATAAGTTACTGAGGGTGATAACTAATTTCTACTCAACTTGCCATTGTTAATAATGGTGGTCATATTTCTTGTATGAATTTTTTTTTGATAGGAATGAAAGGCCTCGTTAAATACCCCCTTCTTAAATTAAAGACCTTGAAGAAAGGTCGTTAATCATAGGAAGGAGGAAAAGAGTGCCTTGGAATTTTTATTAATATTGAACATTACATAAAAGTTAAAAATAGCACTAAATTGCTTGACATAAGACTTAAACACTCCTCCTCCCAACATAAAAACCTACACACTTGGTCAAGAAAACCACAAATAGACCCTTACAATCAACCTATCCCTTTCTTTGCTAAGCTATCTGCCTCTCCGTTACACTCCCTTTACTGAATGAACCTTTCCACAGATAAGACTCGAAATCTGATAAACAATAGGCGAGAAAAAAATAGGTGCCAGAGTCGGGGACTGAATCCATTCCACTGCAGACGAGCAATCACTTTCAACGATCAACCTACCAACTGAATCCCATCGAGAATACAGAAAAATATCCATGCCTCTTTTTATAGCTTTTAATTCAGCAAGTGGGGGGATTGCTTGACCAATACTCTCTGAGAAAATCAAAAGAGTGCAACCATTCCAATCTCTTAATAAGCCTCCTATACCTCCACCCGAATCGTTCTGCCTAACAGCTCCATCGACATTCATCTTTAGGAAGTCTACTGGGGGGGGTAACCACCGAAAGACAATACGATCTTTAACATTACAAGATGAAACACCATCTGCAAGTGATGGATTACCAATCAGCACATCCTCTTGTATATTAATACCCGGAAATTTGGCATGGAACCATTTAGCAAGCCTGAATCTAACAATGAAGAACAGTGACACTCTGTCTAAAAGAATTCCTTCGAACACCATTGCGTTCCTATGTTTCCATATAGACCAGAAAAAATGACTCCTGGAATAAACTTCCAAATCGTAGATTTCTCCCTCAACTCACCCCAGGAACAAAGAAGAGAAGGAGGATCTTGTGGTAGAACCATAGCAATTTCCCAAAAACTAGCTACTTTATTCCATAATTCCCAAACAACATTACAAGTGATGAATAGATGTTGCACAGATTCCTCCTGTTTCTTACAAAATGGACACAGAATATCATCCCTTATGGGTAGACCTCTCTTAACCAACTCAACTTTTACTGCTACTTTCTGGTGAGCAAGCTGCCAAAGGAAAGCTTCCACCCGAGGTGGTGCAAAGCCCAACCAAACCCCTTTTGTCCACACAGCAGTACCCCCAGACATATTACCAAGAGTGTTTCTACAAGATTTAATTGAGAACAATCCATCTCCACTAGCGGTCCACGATAAAAAATCATCCACAATTTCTGAAAGTTGAATATCCTTCAACTTAGACATCAACTCCAACTATTGGACCAATTCCCAATCGCACAAATTTCTCCTTCTCTGGACATTCCACACCCAACCACTCGATTCGAAGCTACCAAACTCCTCAACTTTCCCCTCTTTATTAGGAGAGAGCACAAAAATTCTTGGAAAAAGGAATTTCAGAGCACACTCATCTGCCCAAACGTCATTCCAAAAAGAAATGGACTTACCATTTCCTACTTTCAATTTCGAATTTGACCTGAGACAATCTCCTACCGAATCATTCTCCAAATAGTTATTAGCTATTCCTCTCAAAATCCAAGATGATTGAGGATGAGAAACCTCCCTAATAGACATTGAACTGCGGCTGACCTTATGTTTGTTGCACAACACGCCTTTCCAAAGGGAATTTTTGTCATTGGCAAATTTCCACACCCACTTGCCTAGTAGAGCCCGATTAGTGAGGTTCAAATCAAGAACACCTAATCCACCACAATTTAATGGTTTGCAGACCGAACTCCAGTTCACCCAGTGGATTCTCCTCTTTTCCTCTTTATCACCCCATAGGAAATTGGCCATTAACGAGTTTAACTTCTTACCAATTTTGCATGGCATTTTAAACAAAGATAAGAAAAAAATTGATAAGGAGGATAACACCGACTTCAATAAAACTGTCCTACCGGCCAATGACAGAAATGAAGCTTTCCACCCTGCAAGTTTGGCACTAAAGTTCCTAAAAACTGGATCCCATAGAGCCTCTGAATTCTTCTTGGCACCTAGGGGAAGGCCCAAATATTCTGTTGGAAAGGAACCTACTGAACAACCCACTCGTGATGCCCAGTCTGTTAATTCATCTTCCTCCATGTTAATTCCAAAAGCTTACTCTTAACCAAATTTAAATGCAGACCTGCCATGATACTAAATATCCTCAACACTCTTATAACGTTCTTGAGCTGAGTAATCGAAGCTTGGCAAAAAATGATTAAATCGTCGGCGAACTGAAGATGAGACAACTTAGTAGTATTATCAGTTTTCCCTATTACGAACCCCTAGAATAGACCCTTGTCCACTGCTTTAGAAAGCATCAAATGAAGCAACTCGCCCACAATGTTAAACAATAATGGAGAGAGACTACAACCTTGCCGTAAACCTTTGACCATAGGAAACTCATCCGAAGGAGACCCATTCACAAGAATTGAAATCGACGTTGTTGAAAGACATTGAGAAATCCACGAAGACCATCTGTTACCAAAACCCATCTCTGTCATCGCTCTAATAAAATAGACCATTCCACAGAATCGTAGGCTCTACGGAAGTTAACTTTTAGTACAACCCCTCGCAACCCTTGTTTTCTCCAATAATCAATTCCCTCATTCGCAGTGAAGGCACAATCCAACAGCTGTCTCCCCGGTATAAAGGCGAACTGAGATTGACTAATAATATCTCCTACACAGCAGCTCAGTCTCTTAGATAACACTTTAGAGAGAATCTTGTAAAGACTACCCACAAGACTAATTGGTCTAAAGTCCTCCACACTATCCGAATTAAGTTTCTTTGGAATGAGTGTAATAAACGCATGATTAACCCCATGTTCCCAAACCCTGCCCAAATAAAAATCCTGAAAAAATCTCAAAACATGCTCCTTCAAAGTCGGCCAGCATTTCTTGAAGAAGCCCATGGTGAAGCCATCCGGACCTGGATCTTTAGAGCTGTCTGAATAGGCTATCGCTTGCCAAATTTCCTGTTCAGAGAACTGATCCTCAAGTTTTGTAGATTGACTTTCTGTAAGCTTAGCGAAATCCAGAGATAAAACGTCCACTTCCATAGTAGACTTGTAGCTGTAGGCATTCTTAAAGTAGTTCGCGATATGTGACTTTATCAAATGCGGATTTGAAACAACAGAGCCATTGATCTTCAAACTTGTAATTTCGTTTCTTTTGCTCCTGTTTAACGCAGACAGGTGAAAGAATCTTGTATTTCTATCTCCATCTTTTATCCATTTTGTCCTTGACTTCTGAAACCAAATACTTTCTTCAACCCTATACAGCCTCCAAAGATTCGTTCTGAACTGAGACAACTGATCCCACTCCTGTTGGGAGAGAACATCGTCTTGTGCCTTAAATTCAATATCATGGATCTTCAATTCCAAATCTGAAATAGACTCAGAAATCCCATGAAACTTATTGTCAGACCAGTTTCTTATTGATTTTTTTGTCCCTTGTAAAAAACTGAAGAAGCCCCTTCTCTTCTTACTCCCCCTCCAATTTTCCAAGGACGATTGAACCAACTCCTCGAAACCTTTCTCCTCTAAAAGATAATTAAAAAATCTGAACGGTTTAGGACCCCAATCCACTGATTTTTCCTCCAATGAGACAGGATTATGATCAGATAAAGACCTAGGTAATAAGCTCTGCACAACATTCGGAAAACATAACAGAAAATTCCCAGATATAAGAAACTTGTCGAGTCTGACCCAAGTAGAAGTTTTTCTGTTATTACACCATGTAAACCTTCCCCCTATCATAGGTAGATCAATTAAGTTTGATTGATTCAGGAAATTTCTCATGATATCAATAGATAGCCAATTTTGAGACCTTCCCAATTTCTCAGTCGGATCAAGGTACACATTGAAATCACCCCCAATACGGACTGACCTGGTTTGAGCAGCAACAAAATCCTTTAACTCCCTGAAAAATTCTGCCTTTTCTGAATCAACGGAAGGACCATACACATTTATGATCACACACTCTGCACTTGAGTTCTTAAACTTCCCAAAACTGCAATGATCTGCCGCTATGGCAGTTTGATACTTCAAATACGTTATCATTCCACAAGACTATTAATCCACCTGCTGACCCCAGCTGGACAAATTTCCACCATTAAGTATACAACCTCCTAACCTTCTCCTAAGAGCCTGAGAGCAGTTTTCCAGCTTTGTTTCTTGAATGAGAAGGATGCACGGTTTAAACTTCTTAACCATATTTGATATAGCTCTAGATTTCTCTTTTTTTCCCAAACCCCTTACGTTCCATGAAATAATCTTCATCTGTGTCATAAAGACTAATCTAAAACCAAAACCTCAAGGTATAAGAACTATCGGTAGACTAAACCCCCGGGTCCAGCCCCTCCCTGTTTTCCACCAAATTCTCCTCAAAATTTATGAATTTTTCCAAGAATGCCTTCTTCCCTTATTTGAATGAGATCCCCAGTATTTTGCTAACCTCCCAAGTAGCCAAAGCCTCTTCCAAAAATACCGAGAAATTTGGAGAAGACAAAGAATGAAAACTGACCCTATCCAGAGCTTCCCTGATCAGAAGCCTTCTTTTTCTTCTTTTTCTTCTAGCCTCAAACCTAGCCCCTGAATCAGATTGACCAACTGATGAAACATCATTTATCCTCCGGGGAGACTATAAGTGATCTCCAACCTCCTCCCCCCCCATTTGTCTTACCTCCAAGATAGCAGGACAAGACTGATTGCTCAGCAGAGGGCTGATTAAAGAACTGTTATGATCTTGCAACTCCAAAGATTGTAACACTCCTTCACTGCTCGTATTAAACCACACCTTTCTATCTTTAGATCTTCTATACACTCTAGAAGTAGAACCTCTATTCCACCTTCCCAACGATGTATTACTGAAATGCATGCTTTTGGATAAATGGTCTAAAGGACACCACCTCCTTAGACCCTTTGCAAAAGACTTCTTATTAAGTCCTAGCCCCTGGTGAGTACTCAAAATAACTGGCCTTATATCCTTTTCCACCTCTTTTGCAACCGCACTAATTTTTACCTTGTATGATCTCCCATATGAGCCCAATGTGACAGTATCCTGTATATCATAAGGACTGGCCACCCTCAACAAAGCTCTTACCATCGCCAAATCCTCTCCTCTGATCGTGGATTCATGGAAACACACCAGTTTCCCCCACCTTGAGACAAGCTTTTCCAAAAAAAATACATTACAACATAGTAAGGGGGTTCCAACCAACTCTACCGAACAGAATGCCATCAGAACTCCATCTATACTCATAAGTGGATCAAGCCAATCAAACCAAAAGGACACTTCCTCTCTTCTGCTCGACCACACCTCCTCGAACTCTTCCTTCGAACCAAAGATTAAGATGCAAGAATTCCAAGTATATCCCCATTTAACTCCCTTGACCTTGATCCCTTCACTAGCCAGCCCCTTCACTACTATCTCTAGATCCAAGTGGGATTTGATGATCCCAGTTAATGATCTTTTCACCCAATCATATTCGTCTGAGGAGATATGCATTTCCCACAAATTCTTCATTCCTACTTCCTTAACTATATGACCCTCCCGAATCTCTTTTGCCGCTGGACCTTCCCTCCTACCGTCCAAAGATGCTAACGCATCCTTGTAAGATCTCTCATCTCTCAGTCGGTTGTATGACTCTGATCCAGCTCTTCTACTCCGAGACACATCCTTATTCCACTTATCTTCTTCCCTTTTGCCATTGCTTCTAACAGCCTGCCTGAGTCTCTGCTTCTGGTACTTGGCAACTCCTACCGAGATCTTCTTGCCATCTATCCAAATACCATTAATATTTGCTAATGCCTTCATCAACCCCTCCTCCTTTGCAAACTGGACGAAAGCGAACATGTAATTTCTATAATTCAGCTTGTTAAGATTGTTCGGGATGTAAACACGTACAACACTCCCCTATTGTTGAAAAATTTCCTTAAGTGTTTTCCAAGTTACCCTCTTACTCAGATTATCAACGAAAAACGTCCAATCTTCGCCGGAAGACTGACCAACTGAAAACCTCCCTCTCTCTTCCGCTTTCTCTCTGACACTCTCTCTCATATTTTTTGGTATTTTTATATTTCTTGTATGAATTAATGTCACAATCTTTCTTCTACCTTGCTGAATTATTTATCATTCCTTTTATTCCAGGGCGGTTGTAGACCATAGCATAGGGAAAGATCTTCCTTCTGTTTCTGTTGATGGTTTTGAGTATTTTCCTGGCAAAGGTCTAGTTGCTACTCTCAACAGTGCTGAGGTAATGTGTCTTTTTACCAATATATATCATTTGTCTCAGTGATATTAAAATTCAATATTAATGAGGAAATGGTTTATCTTCAAGTTTGTCAAAACTCAACATCACTAATTTTCATTTCCAAACCATTTGATATCCATTTTGCTTCTATAGTTTGTATGTGTGCCTTGCCTATGATTGTACATTTATAACTTAACACCAAGTTCAACCCTTGGGAAGCCTGTGTTCTGCAAAACTTTTATGACACTCACAGTCATTGGGGGTTGCTTCCAGTATAGTATTCAGTGCTAGTTTTTTGCTGAAAAAAATGCTAAAAAGGGGAAAACAATATGCATTGTCATCTTTTCATTTGAAGCGCCTTTCATTGATGTTATTATCATTAATCAATATTGTAAAAAACAAAATAAAAAATGAAAACAAAAGTCAGGGGTTCTGTCCCTTGATAATTTCATATCGAGCAACATTCAAAATAAAGGATGATAGAATAATATTCCTCAATTCCACTGTATGATTTATTCGCAGCAAAGATTTTGCTTGCTTCCCTTCTGTTACATTAAAACCATCCTACTTATAATCATTTCGGCTTTGCTATAGTCAGGAACTAGAGGAGGTAAATTGTTGAAAGCATCACTTGGTTCTATAGAATTCATCACTTCACTTTGTAAATCTGAAGATGAATCAAGGAAGATTAGGGAAGCTGTTAATGCTTCTTCTTATGGAACTGACTTTGTTCATGCTGCTCTTTCTGTTGACGAAAAGGTGCGATCTCCATCCATCATGTTAGTTGTTTTTCTTTCTCACGTCCAGACAGATATGCATTTGAAACACAAAGACACAAGTAAGCTATATGTATATATACCAAATGTGTGGATTCTATGTATTACTTTTCAAAGCAGATGCATCCATTGGGTGTTAAAGAAGCAGGAAGATGCGCTTGGAAAAGACACTTTATATGCCCAAAATATATCTAATTAAAAAATATCTGCCTGTGCATGGTTTATATTCGTATTTTAATACCTCTATAGATTTGGATGCTTTGTCAAGCCTAGCTATTTTACACGGACAGTTGCATTTTGTTTAAGAGTTCAATAGTAAACTGAATGTATATGCAGCTACAAGTTGGATTTGTGCTATTTGCGGCATCACGTTTTTTTAATCAATTATTTATGTTGTAAATACTAAATTTAGTTTTGTAATGAATTTGTGCAGGTGACTTTGATTCACCTTGAGGATAGGCCTAGACCAGGGGTTTTAGATGTTGTTTCTGAATTGAAAGATCAAGCAAAATTCCAAGTAATGATGTTAACTGGTGACCACAAGTCAAGTGCATGGAGAGTAGCTAATTCTGTGGGCATAAATGAAGTCTACTCCAGCCTAAAGCCAGAGGACAAACTCAAGCATGTGAAGAAGATTTCAGGGGATATGAGTGAGCCCTGGATTCTTATCAAGTTCAATATCTTGATATTCAATAGATACTCGTGGCAAATTCCTACTCCATATCTTAATGGATTATCAAATTATCATGTGAAGTTTTCCTTGATTACCATCTTTACATAAAAATGATCAGCCAAAACAGCTTATTTACAGTTCATCCACGTTCATGGCAGGGGGAGGTTTGATCATGGTAGGTGAAGGCATCAATGATGCACCAGCTCTTGCTGCTGCAACTGTTGGAATTGTTTTAGCTCAGCGTGCTAGTGCAACTGCTACAGCAGTTGCAGATGTCCTATTGCTGCAGGACAATATTTCTGGTGTTCCATTCAGTATAGCCAAGGCTCGCCAAACAACTTCACTGGTACTCGGTTAATCCCTTATTTATCCTTGTTGTACTCTGGTCATGCGCAGTTATTTATGCAATTCTACATGCAGGTCAAGCAAAATGTGGCCCTTGCCTTAACTTGTATAATCTTGGCCTCTCTTCCATCAGTCTTGGGGGTTCTTCCGCTTTGGTTAACGGTATGATCAGTTTGATGATTGCCTTTTCTTGCAAAACTTATCAACCCTGTGTTTTTTAGAATGAAAACATGGTCTCTGATACCTGAAACATTTTCGTTCTGTATGCTACTAACATGTATTTATTAATTTGTTGCTTAATTACTGCTCTTCTGTAATTCAAAATCTTGGTTGGCAGGAATCTGATGGTTCGAATTTAACACCTTTCCTGTCCTGGATGATTACAGGTTCTCCTGCACGAAGGCGGTACTCTCCTTGTTTGCCTCAACTCTATCCGTGCTCTAAATGACCCATCATGGTCATGGGGGCAGGATCTATGGAATTTGATGTCTAAACTCAAATCAAAACTTGCATTGTTCAGACACAACACAACGTCAAGCACCATCCAGACTGCACCTTTGTGAAGTAATCAGTACTTAGCTTAGACACTGTAGGAAAAAGTTCCTTAATTTTCTAGTTGAGAGTTGGCTCATTCTCATATTTTATTTATAAAAACAAGAGCCTAAAAACTGTAAAAAGTTGGAACTTCAATCAATCAAATCAACAAAAGTTTTAGGTTGTGCTGAGCATTTGAGCCTTTTAAGTTGTAGTTTCAACCGGGTTTCTTAGTATTGAAAGTTTGATGGTTTATTTAATCTTTAAGTAAAAAAAAAATTAAAAATCAATAATATGTTTAAAAATTTTAAAAAAATAAATAGAAGTTATAAAATTTAAAAGATAACAAGTTATAAAATGGTAGGTATAAAAAATAAATTTATTAGGTACTAAAATTTTTAAATATTTTTATCAAGAAAGTCCCCAACGATCTTTCGTCAGTTCGAGTCTACTATTTATTGAACATATGTTTAATAGAATTAAGAGTTATAAAATTTCTTCTTCGATTTTCTACACAAAATAGTAACAAGCACACCACAAACGTGGTAAACTTTCGGTTTTGTATTTTTTTGTTATATAAATATCTAACTAGTGAATTATATTTATATATGAAAAGTAAATAAAAATTAAACTTATAACAATAACATGTAATTAGGAGTCGGTAAAAATCAAATCAATTCAAATAGTTAATTTAGTCGAGTTATTTAATTAATTAGGTAATTAGGTAATCGAGTTGGACTTTTAAACTTAAATATATAAAAACTAAATTAACAAATTGGTATAAATATCTTCTGGGTTCCCGATAATTTTAAAAATAAACAGTGATAACTCATATAAAAATTAAATATAAAAATTAAAATATTCTTCGATTTTTTTTTTAAAAAAAAAACATAAAGTTAATAAAAATATTAAAAAATATCATGATTTATAAATAATAAATTATAAATATATAAATCAAAATTTAAAAATATTTATAAAGTCTTACAACAATAAAATTCAATTTTTTTTTCGATTTTTTACGCCAAATATCAATGAGTACTAATTTGGTGTAGAAAATCAAAAGAAAATTTGGATTTTATCCTTACACTAATGTAATGGTGATTCCTATGAAAATAAGTTTAATGACCAGCAGTAAATTTAGAATAACAAGAGATAAACGAAGACTTTTTTTATGAAAGTGTTAAAAAAATTTAATTTCTTATAAATATTTTAAAATTTATATTAATTTATTATTTTTATAATTTATGTTGTGTTTTAGTTTTTATTTATTTTTTTGAATTTTTTATGGTGTTTATATTTCTTTTTATGAATATTTTAATATTTTTTAAATATTTATAATTTTTTAATTATTTCTTTTTTAAAATATTAAATAAACCCTTCAAATTTTGATTAAAATCAAGGGTAAACTACACGTTTAGTACCTAAAAAATTACTTTTATTCATTATTGGTACCTAAACTTTATTTTTCACAAAAATATACTTAATGTTTAGTTTAGTTTCATTTTGGTACATTGCCGTTAAAAACTTGACGGAACTGTGGTGGTGGAACTTTTATGGGTAAATTCTATCATTCATCATTCAACTATCTTCTCACTCCTATTTGGTCACTAAAGTTTAAAAATTTTCAATTTAACTACTCGACTTTCAAATTGCTCTTGTTTTAATCACTCTAATTTATTTTATTAATAATTTTTGTGACATGACATATTTCATTATTATTTTATTAATATATAATTAAAATAAAAAAATAAATCTAAAAATTAGAGTGATTGAATTAGGAGTATTTTGAAAGTTAAGTAATTAGATTAAAAATATTAAACTTCAGTGATTAAAATAGGAGTGAGAAGATAATTAAGGGATGAATGATGTAATTTACCTATAAAAAATGTCACATATAAAAATTTCATTAAGTTTTTAACGACGATGTATCAAAACGAAATAAAAAGTAAATATTATGCATAATTTTGGAAAAAAAATAAAATTTAAATATAATTTGGAAAAATAAAAAACTAAGTACCAAAACGTGACAAAAATAATAATTTAGTTATTAAACGTATAGTTTACTCTAAAATCAATTATGCCATTGAACTTAGGTCTGAATAGATAAGCTGAGTTTATTTTATCAGTTAAGGGTCTACTTGCACTCCCATTCCTTGTACTCGTACCTTTTAAGTTTAATTTTCTACTTTTAATTTACGGAATTTAATCCCTTTTTTTATTTAATAATTCGTAAAATTGATAATAAAAAATTAAATGCTCACGCAGACAATTTAAAGCTATTTAGAAGCCGTGTAAACAAAAATGAAAAGAGTAAAGTGCACAAATGGTCTCCTGACTATAAGGTAATATTTTGTTAAGTCCCTTGATTATTAAAAGTTACAATGGTCCTCCAATTATAGAGAGTTACTTTGTTGAGTCCCTCGACTATTAAAAGTTACAAAATGATCACCGATTATTTATTACATTCCAAACTTGTCCTTTTAATGATCAGTTTGAGTTGGACGTTAACTTAATACCTGAGGTATGATAAAATCTGATTTTATAATCTCAAACGACTATCATATCTCAATCAACAGGTTAATGTCCAGTTCAACCTACCGTCAATTTTTTTAACGGAAAATGATGAGTTTGAAATATAATAAATAATCTAGTGACCATTTTGTAACTTATAATAGTCGAGGAACTCAACAAAGTAACTCCCTATAATCAGGGGATCATTTTGTAACTTTTAATAGTTAAGGGATTCAACAGAGCAGTATCCTATACTCGGGGATCATTTGTGTAGTTTACCCATTATATATTTAATTTACTTTTAGGGTGCGTTTGGTTCACGGAATGTAAGATTACCAGTAGGAATGTAAGATTACCAGGGAATAGGATTACTGTGAATGTTTATTTTGTGTTTGGTTGGCTTAGCATGAATGTAAAATTACCGTATTTGGTTAAAGAAATAAAATATTATTGGAATGTATATTTGATCAAATTATCTTTATTATATATTTTTATAATATTACAAGTTGGAAAATATTTATATTTTTTCTTTAAAAAATTAAATTCATAATATTTATATATATTTTTTATAAAATTAAAAATATAAAAAATGTTTAATGAAATGGTAAAATTTTATTTTAACCCCTGAACTTTATATAAAATTGTAATTATAGATTTTTTTGTAAATCTAAAATAATTTAAGGATAAATTTGTAATTTAACATTCGTATAATTTTTATTATTTAATGACAGAAGAATGATATTTTGGAAAAAAAGATAAAAAATTAAGGGTATTTTAGTCCAAAACACCGGTAATCCAACAATACCTAAGAAAAGAGAGATAATGACATTCCCGGTAATATGCCCCAAAAATTCACTATTGATAATCTTACATTACCGAGAATGAGATTTCCGGACTAACCAAACGAGAGAATGTGGATTCCATTTCTATGAAAATCCCACATTCTCCATCCAAACACCCCCTTATATTTATAAAGATTAATTAAATTTGAATAATTTCCGATCCTTTAATTTTTAATTTCTCTGCATAAAAAAATTCAGTGCGGAAGGTATGTGAAGAAAAAGTGTGGGTTAGTTAATGCTAAAGAAAGACCACCCACCTGTAAGTTCACCAACCGTTTGCATTTGAGATATTTTTGGTTGACCTTCACTGTCAACCAATAACACCACCGATATATATATTTATATAAACGGTATCTAATATTTCATGTGTGAGTTTTTATGTATATAAAAAGTTTTTGTTAGAAAAAGTATCTATTAAAATTAGATATGTAATATAAATCAATCCAAATTAATCAAAACAAAACTCTTTAAAATCAAAAAGACAACAAAAATAACACCGTGTCTCAAATTTATTTTAATTTTATTAAAAAAAATCTCTTTCTCTTTCTTTTCTTGGCCTGTGTTTCTCTCCAACAGTTGTATTCAAATCAAACAATCAAACGTGTCCCCTTCAAATCCATGAATTTGCATTAATTAAAGAGAAAATAACCTCAGTGACCAAAAATCCCATATAATATACGATTTTAACCAACTTTTTCCGGATTTGCCAAAATGACCAACAAAATCGCAATGCGATCGCTAATTCGCAACGCGATCTCCATTATCGCAAATTCGCGTTGCATTTTCGCAATGCGATAGTTGAAAATCGCGTTGCGATGGTCTACAGTATCGTTGCGATTTTCCCAATTCGCAATGCGAATAAGTAAATCGCAACGCGAATTGGGAAATTCGCAATGCGAATAAGTAAATCGCAACGCGAATTGGGAAAATCGCAATGCGATACTGACTATCGCAATGCGATAATAAAAAATCGCAACGAGATACTTACTTTCGCAACACGATACTGACTTTCGCAACGCGATTTACTTAGCGCCATTCGTATTAACGCGTATTTTTTTTTTCAAATTCCAAACACATATTTTTTCTTAATAAATCGGAAAATGAACCGTCCACAGTAATCGTAACTCATAACCTCAAACCCAAAAACAACACTCAGTCTCTCCATCTCTCACTCTCTACGGCGAAATCCGTCCCCATCTCCGAAGATTTCCGTCCCCATCGCCGGCGAAATCCCCACAACATTCACAGTCAAAATCCCTCACAATCATTCAGAAATGGAAAATCAACCTCCGATGGTTAGTTTTTTTATTTTTATTTTGAAATTTTTGCATTATTTTAGGTCATAATTGATGATAAGTTTCTGGTAATTTCAATAATAGATAACCATTTCACTTAGATTCTTATTAAATTCATTCGATTGCTGCCAATACTGCTAAACTGTTTAGCCTGTGAAGTTAGTATTTTCTTTGCTTTGTCTTTTGGTGAAGTAATGCAGAAGAAGAAGTTCGAGAATGAGAATCGCAACGCGGAAATGACTATCGCAACGAGATAATCGCAACGCGAAATAAAAATCGCAACGCGAAACCAAAATCGCATTGCGATTTTCATTTCGCGTTGCGATTTTCATTTCGCGTTGCGATTTTAATTTCGAGGTTGCGATTTTCATTTCGCGTTGCGATTGTCTGGTCGCGATAGTCATTTCGCGTTGCGATTCTCTCGTTGCGATAGTCATTTCCGCGTTGCGATTCTCATTATCTCGTTGCGATTTTCATTTCAACCAAAAGACAGAAACATGTTGCAAATTTTAGTTTCAAGAATAAACTACTATTTATGTTTTGTTTTGTTTTTGGTATATCTTGATAGTGTATTTTGGTATATCTAACTTGGTATGTTTATTGTTTTTTTGTAGAAATTTTTTTCGGCTTCATTGACATTAGGAATAAAGTTAGCCTAGCCACTACAATTGCTTCGAAGCTTTCACCTGCACAAAGAAATTGTTTGAAGAAACCTGCTTCGGGCCATGGCTGAGTACAGCATCCGGGTGGGATGCTAGTTTGACCCATTTGTGGCTTCAGACCATGACTAGCGATCTACCCGACAGTATACAACGTGGTGAGGAAGAGATATGGTTTCATTTTCCCCGGCGTATACTTGTTTTGGGCGGAAGGAGTTTGCTTAATCACTGGTCTACGATTCGGACACGATGTAGGCCGGTACACTGTCATATCACCCGCCCATCATGGTTATCCAGGGTTTTTCCTGATGAGTCATAGAGAAGCCGAACTTACACGTCGACGACATGAAGAAATTGTTTAATAAGATGGTTTTACTCGGATGAATGACGTCGATGTTGTCCGAGTATGCCTTCTACTACTTTTGTATGCCGGCTTTCTAGGAGAGGCCAGACAACTATTCCTCAGCTAATATTATTGGTAGAGGACCTAAATGCATGGAATCTATTTCCGTGGGGTTCGTATATATGGAAAGCTACCTGGACTAAGTTGTCGTCTGCCTTTGATGACCGCAAAAGTTTGCGGGCGATGGGTCGAAATACACTTTGTCAGGCTTTGTTTGGGCCTTTAAGGTAAGAATTTCTATATAATGTTTTCAAAATTATAATTAATTATTTAACAATTACTAATGTTTGTTTTATATGTTTGTAGATTGGATATTCGAGGCTTTCCCCAGCATGCGGACTATGCATTAAATCCTCAGATGATATTCCTAGGGCTATTTCCTGGAAGAGGAAACTTATGTTGGATTGGGAAGACTTAATACCATATGCGACAATAATAATGTAAGTTAACAAATACATCATATATAAACAAGTTATTAATAGTAGACGTTTAACTTTGTTTTAGTTTTTATATTAGGAGGCCAACACTCCATTAATGAGACTGACACCCACGGAGGCTGAGCTTGCCACTGATTGGTGGCAAGCTAGTCAGCGTTTTTTTGATGGCACGAATGATGAGCAGCCTCCACTTCCTCCACTTCGAGAGCCATCACCTCACCCAGAGCCATCACCTGATCGACCCGACTATACACCTCTACAACGAGAGCCATCACCTATCCCGTCACATCATCGAGTCTCTTCTCCACCATCACCTCATGATAGCGACGACAAAGATGCCACGACTTCTATCTCCCTGTTCTCCACCTCCACGGGATGAGTCAAGGGAGTTACGTGATGAGGTCAATGCCTTGCGTGAGGATCTACTCTACGCATAACGATGGTGCATGGCGTGTGGAAGTGTCTACTTTACGTGGTGAGGTTGCCGCTCTCCGTGAGATGGCGTGTGGAAGAATCAACGAGATGAATCATTTGCGTTGGGTAATGGACAAGCTAAACTTTATCCTGCATGGTGGGAGGTCGATAAGGTTAGTGTTTATTTTAGATTGAGTTTAAAGGTATTCAAATAAGTACGCATGAATGAATTATTACTATGATTGCAGGTGTTTATCCCTGTTTTGGAACGTAACCATTGGCTTCTCGTCGAGCTTCAGATCCCATCCCTTAAGGCAATAGTATAGACAGCATGATAAATTACATATCATTGGCTGATTTAAGAGATATTATTAAGGGATGGAGCTCTTATTGGCTAAATACTTGGATGCGATAAATTATTGGACTCGTTCTGGAAACAAGAGCCAAAGAAGCTCAATATTACAGTTAGCAGAGACGAGACCGCACCACAACAACAAAGGACCCAGAGGGGATTGTGGTCCTCTCGTATGCTTGGCGTTGGACCGTTTGATCACAGGAAGTATAAGTATCTACCTCCCACCGATATAGATAGAGCTGCAGTAGGCTTGTGGTTTCGACATTATATGGCTAGATCGATATATACGAGACGCTGCCTACCTGCATCCGCGTTATAAAATGTCCATAAACATTGGTATGTTATAGGCTTGTGGTTTGAAAATGTTTGGTTAGTACCTAGAATTCAATAATTTGCTGTTTGTAGGTTTTAGATGTGTAAAAGTGTTGTTTGAGCAAATGTTGGTTATGCAGGTTAATCTCAGAAGTGAGCTGCGTGAAATGATGTATGGCTGCAAAAGTTGATTCAATAGTAGAAGTGTTATTTTCTCTAATAATTATTGCTTTTTTTGATTGTTTAATTGATTTGTAAAAGGTGATTTGTAAAAGTTGATTTGTTTAATTGTGTTAACATAATTCTTATTTGTGTTTGTTTAATTGATTGAAATGTAATGGTTGATTTTGTTGATTTCAATATGCATTATGTTGAGGCAAAAAGTACTATCGCAATGCGAAATGAAAATCGCAACGAGAGAATCGCAACGCGAAAATGAAAATCGCAACGCGAAATTAAATTCGCGTTGCGATTTTCATTTCGCATTGCGATTCCCTCGTTGCGATTTTCATTTCGCATTGCGATCTCTCGTTGCGATTTTCATTTCGCATTGCGATAGTAATTTCCGCGTTGCGATGGACATTAGATGATTGCCTATTAAGTGATAACACTGGAACAGATCATAGCAATTTTCAAACTAAAGTACTAATACATGCCTAACTGAAAATGTTAAAAGTTCACACATAAAATCTACATAATACAACGTTTGCATTAAAATCACCTAAGTTAACAGACCCAAAAGGTGAAGCCAGTTGTGATTGGGATTTTAAAGATGATTGCGATTTTGATTGCCTTTTTCTTGACACCATATGAGCTTTGGATTTTGATGATGATCCATATTTTGGTAGAGGAAAAGATGATTGTGATGGCACTGGTGATCACATGTCAACCTTGTATGACCACTTTCCTTGCACGACTACATGTCGATCTCTTTTTCTCTTCACCCTTAGAGTATACGATCGTGACTTTTTGGTCGGCCAGGTAGCCTTCTGTCCATGGTTGGTGGCAAACTGTTTGTAAGTCATCTGGTATGTCCCACTCAGAAGGATGTGAAATAGGGTAGACAATCTCGGCATAAGTCTATCGATATACTTCTGTAGTGTAGCAATCCATAGCGTATGTGCTTGAATCATCTTGGTTTAGATGAAGAGCACTTTTATAACATGGCCACATGGATAACCCAGATGTTTGCCATTTCATACAACTACACGTCCTTGCATTTAGATCGACAAGCCCATTTAAGTATTATCCAGTACTTCAAACAAAGTGTTGAACATGGTTCAACTCTCCATGACGTTGACTTCACAACACGTTTCGTTATCTTTTTTTCAGTCCATGGTGTAACACGATGTTCCAATGTTCCTGTAAATTTAAATAAATAATACTTAGTAAAATATATCCCAATTCCTGTAAATTCAAAGAAATAATACCTGCATGGTTTCTTTTCTTGTAGTACCACTGTTGAATAAGGCTCGAAAAACTCCATTAACATAGTAATGGGTAATTTCTGGGAATGACGACTTAGAGCGTTAATTGATCTGCACTATTAGACGTCATGAAACCATATCTTGCTCCAAGTTGATGTACTTGACCATCTTTCAAACCCGACATCTTCTAGTGTTTGAGCACACTGAGGCAAAACACGTCTTAAACAGTTTATATGCTTATTGAAATCCACTTCCGATAAGCCTTTACAGCCTTCCAGTATGTCCATTTGTGCTTTTTTTATACCAGCAGACCTTGATTTTAGATTCTATACAAATGAACACCACAAAGTCCATGAAAAACTCTGGGAAAACACCTTCTAACAGCGTTGTCAATTGAGTTTGCCCTATCGGATATGATTTTCAGATTGCTAATAGGACCTATGCAATCCCTAAGATGCCCCATAAACCATGTCCATGATCAGAGGTTTCAGATTTGCCAACCCCGTAAGCTATTGGCAATATCCCATTGTTAGCATCCATGGCTACTGCTAATAAGTTTACTCCAAGGTATCGACCTTTCAAATGTGCTCCGTCAACTATAATAACTGGGCGCATGCAAGTAATAAACGAACGAATCTACAAAATAATATACACAAGAAATATAATCATTTAAATTTTAAATGCATGTAACTAACATAAATGAGTCAACAGAATTATATTGATTTACTAACCGCAGCACCAATGGCGATAAACAGCAACTCAAAGCGTCCATCTCTATAGTTTTGATATGAGTTACCGACCCAGGATTTTCAGCTTTAAATTATGACAATAAGCCGGCAGTTGGGCAAACGATGCTTCTGGCGACCCCCTCAACAATTCCAAGGCATAACATTTGGCTCTCCAAGCTTGAGAATATGACATACTAATCTTGAACCGAGCATTCTGTCAGTCATAATTTCATGTCCCCGATACCCTGCCATTCAAAAACATTAACTCAGCCAGAAAACCACCCAACACTTTTTTGTTTGCCTGTCTATGGTGAGGAAAAACTTGGGTTCTTGAAACATTGCGCAATCTTTTATCCTCTTTGCAATCATACGCCACGTACAGTTTTTGTCAATCGTACACCTTGTTTCGAAACGATCTTTGCTTGATTTGTTAACTTTAGTTGATAGCCATCTTCCACACATTTCGTATACAAAGCTATCTTCAAGTCTTCCTTTGTATCAAAACAATCATCTTTCTTGATACGAATAACTTTTGTGTAACAATCAACTGCTTTCTTTGCCAACTCTTCTTCCGGTAACTGAAGTAATTCTGGCATATTCCAGTTATACTCCCGTGGCATTTTTTTTTCTTCGGGGACTTTTTCTTCTTCTTTTTTCTTCTTCAGGATATATGAATTACAGAATGGATGTTCAACATGTTCACAGTCGTAACTTCCTCCTCATTATCATCAACAACATCTCCTCGACAACGGGTGTTTCATCATCAAAATTCGGGTATTGACCAATATCAAAATCATTACACGCAGGGTCTGTTTCTTCTCTGAAACATCATCAAAATTCGTGTATTGACCAATATCAAAGTCCGGGTATTGACCAAGATCAAATTTCGAATACTGACTAGTACTCACAATTTTTTCTCTTGGCTCATCATCGTCTAATTGGTCAATACGAAAACCGGAATTTGGTGAAAGTTGATTTGGATTGGATTAGAGAAAGGCTGTGGGTTTTGAGACCCACTTAGTTGATTACTACCGCTACTGACCCAATAATACTACTTCTAGGTTCAACAACATACAATGTAACATCACACTTGAAACATTAATGTAAGCAATGAATCGTTCAACATCTTCATTGTCGGTTAAAAAACTTTACCATTTCTCTGATAAGATAGCCTAAATCCACTTAGGGGCTCTAAATTCAATTTTTTTGAAACACGTAACATTAGGGTTTCATAAGTTAACTTCTTTAATGACAGCTTTAGTTGAAGATTCATGGGTAAAGGCATATATTGTAAACACCATGAACATTCTCCCATGACCCTCCAAACACAAATCTATCCAAACATGATCAACATTAGATGATTTCATGGTTGTAACTAAACAAACGAGATGCGAAACTAAGACCTGTTGCCGGATGGGAAAGGATGTCGTTGGATATTGTAACGGATGTCGCCGGAGAGAGTGATAAATGGAGATGGAATGAGTTGCGATTTAGGGATTAGGTTATGAGTTGTTGCTGCTGCGTATATATACATACAAAAATTTGGCTTGCGAAACTAAAACTGTTGCGAACTTTGAAACTCGCATTGCGATTCTGTATTATCTCGTTGCGAAAGTCAGAATCGCGTTGCGAAAGGCAATCATTTGACCATCGCAATGCGAACTGCAAATCGCAACGATAGAATCGCAATGCGAAATGAAAAAGGCAACGAGGATTAACATGCATAAACTTTTAACATTATTATTGAATTCTAGGTACTTAACCAAACATTTTCAAAACAAAAGGAGTATATATGTTAACAAAACTTGCATTATGTGTATTTTATGTGTGCACTTTTAACATTTTCAGTTAGGCATGTATTAGTAACTTGAGTTTGAACATTGCTATGATCTGTTCAGTTGTCATCACTTAATTCATTTGACTATCGCAACGCGAAAATGGTTATCGCAACGAGAAAATCGCAATGCGAAATGAAAATCGCATTGCGATTTTCTCGTTGCGATAACCATTTCGCGTTGCGATAGTCTGTTTTGCCTTCAACATAAAGCAGATTGAAAATCAACAAATCAACTATTACATTTCAACACAAATTATGTACACATCAATTAAACAAATCAACATTTACAAATCATCTTTTACAAATCAATTAAACAATCAAAAAATAATAATAATTCTTATTTCTTCATCAATTATTGAATCAAGAATCAACAACTTTGTGACCCCGTACATCCATTTCACGCAGCTCACTTAAGGATTAACCTGCAGAAACCAAACATTTGCTCAAACAAGACTTCCTACACATCTAAAACCTACAAACAGCAATTATTGAATTCTAGGTACTTAACCAAACATTTTCAAACCAAAAGGAGTATATATGTTAACAAAACTTGCATTATGTGTATTTTATGTGTGCACTTTTAACATTTTCAGTTAGGCATGTATTAGTAACTTGAGTTTGAACATTGCTATGATCTGTTCAGTTGTCATCACTTATTAGACATTCATTTGACTATCGCAACGTGAAAATGGCTATCGCAACGCGAAAATGGTTATCGCAACGAGAATATCGCAACGCGAAATGAAAATCGCATTGCGATTTTCTCGTTGCGATTTTCATTTCGCATTGCGATTTCATTTCGCATTGCGATTTTCTCGTTGCGATAGCCATTTCGCGTTGCGATAGTCTGTTTTGCCTTCAACATAAAGCAGATTGAAAATCAACAAATCAACTATTACATTTCAACACAAATTATGTACACATCAATTAAACAAATCAACATTTACAAATCATCTTTTACAATCAAAAAATAATAATAATTCTTATTTCTTCATCAATTATTGAATCAATGAATCAACAACTTTGTGACCCCGTACATCCATTTCACGCAGCTCACTTAAGGATTAACCTGCAGAAACCAAACATTGCTCAAACAAGACTTCCTACACATCTAAAACCTACAAACATCAAATTATTGAATTCTAGGTACTTACCAAACATTTTCAAACCAAAAGGAGTATATATGTTAACAAAACTTGCATTTGACTTACCAATTAACAATGGACACTTCATAACGCGGATGCAGGTAGGCAGCGTCTCGAATATATTGCTCTAGCCATAATGCCGAAACCACAAGCCTACTGCAGCTCTATCTCTATCGGTGGGAGGTAAAAACTCTGTGCTTCCCGTCGTCAAACGCGCCAAGCAAAGGCATACGAGAGGACCACAATCCCCTCTGGCTCCCGGCGATTGCTGTGGCGCGGTCTCTGACAACTGTGACATTGAACTTCTTTGGCTTCTTGTGTCCAGAATGACTCCAATACTTAATCCCATCCAAGAATTTAGCCAAATGAGAGCTCCATCCCTTGAAAATATCTCTCAAATCAGACAGTGATATGTAATTGATCATGCTGTCATACACTATTATCTTCAGGGATGGGAGCTGAAGTTGGACGAGAAGCCAGTGACGACGTTCCAAAACAGGGATAAAACACCTGCGATCATAAGTAATAATTCATTTATTTGCGCACATTATTAACACCTTTAAAAATTTAAAAAATTAACAACTTATCGACTCCCACCATGCAGGATAAAGTTTAGCTTGTCCATTGCCCAACAAAAATGATTCATCTCGTTGATCTTTAAGTGAACTGCGTGAAAGCCGTCGGCATTATTGTTATAGCGAATTTTTTTTATTTTTCCTAAGCTTCCTTATTATTAGTAGACGTAACACCCATGCATCGATATGCTTTTTACAAAAAAATACATATATTAGTGAATTACATTAATTTTTAAACAAATTAATCAAAATCATATATACAAATATAGTCTTACCCCATCCAAATAGCCCTGTCTTCAACCCCTAATAGCACACCCACCAAGACCGATCAAGCAACAAAAACATTTCATCGTTGAGTTTGCTGATGTCAGTGTAACACCCTTGGCTCCGCTCATGTAGATAAAATCAACTGCGGTCTTAGCCCAAAGGTTATTATCCACAATTGTTTCCGGTAGTTGTCTCCTCTCCACTTCAGATACCGGAAGGGTACTAGCCGGTAACTCATACGAGAGCCAACTCTCATCCATCATGTCCGGAACCGGTGGGGGTTTCTCAATACTTCGATATTACCCCATGTGAATCGGGCTCTGGAATGGTGGGAGGGACCTCTTCAACGATGACAGTGGCCTCTTGAACGGTGGGGGGGAATCTGAGGGAGAATAGGGGCCTCTTGAACGATTGGAGGGGACTTGAGGGATGACCGGTGAGTCGGGCTTCTTCTTGCGGAGTCTTCGCACCATTGGGGTGAACGGAGACGTATAGTACGTCCACGCCGTCTGATGCGTGAACTCCGTCGTGCAAGGAAAACCCGACGTAAAGCATCCACCTTATCGGGCCGCTAAAAAAAAATACATAATCAGTAAATAAACAGACATGATATTAAACAAAGACAAATTTTTCAAACTAGCATTGTATTCACCCAAATCATTATTCTATCATAGTTCACAAATGCTCAGATAACATTCCAGAAGTAAGCACTTATATAAACATTTAAAGGACAACATATATAAACATTCCAGAAGAAGAATAGTTTACTTTCGCAACACGAAACTTAAAATCGCAACGCGGAAATGGCTATCGCAATGCGAAATGAAAATCGCAACGACAAAATCGCAACGCGAATGAAATCGCAACGACAAAAGCGCAACGCGAAACACAAATCGCATTGCGATTTTCATTTCGCGTTGCGATTTTGTCGTTGCGATTTCATTTCGCGTTGCGATTTTGTCGTTGCGATTTTCATTTCGCATTGCGATAGCCATTTTCGCGTTGCGATAGTCATTTTCGTGTTGCGAAAGTAAACTATTCTTCTTCTGCAAATTGAAACTTGAATGGATTGCATTACTTCAACCAAAAGACAAAAAAACCAAAAACAAATACTAACAAAAACAGATTGGCAGCAACCGAATGAATTACGAGTATGAAAAATCTTAAACTTACCTCGTTGCGTAGAGTATGAACCTCATTCTGCAACGATGCTACCATCTCACGTAGAGCGGCTACCTCACCGCGTAATGTAGACACCTCAACACGCCATGCACCATCGTCTTTGCGTAAAGTACCGACCTCCTCACGCAAGGCATTGACCTCATCACGTAACTCCCCTAACTCATCCCGTTGAGGTGGAGGTGGAGAACAGGGAGATAAACGTCGTGACAATGTTTGCCGGTCGCCTATCTTGCGGTGATGGTGGAGAAGAGGCTCGATGATGTGAAAGAATAGGTGATGGCTGTCGTTGGAGGTGTATAGCCGGTGGATCAGATGATGGCTCTAGGTGAGGTGATAGCTCTGGGCGAGGTGATGGCTCCCGAAGTGGAGGCTGCTCATCAACGTTCCATCAAAAAAACGCTTACTAGCTTGCCACCAATCAGTGGCAAGCTCAGCTTCCGTGGTGTCAGCCTCTGTAGAGGAGTGTTGGCCTCCTAACAATATAAAAGCTTAAACAAAGTTAAATGTGTACTAGTAATAACTTGTTTATAAACATATGGTAGTATTTATGTTAACTTACATTATTATTGTCGTATACCGTAGTAAATCTTCCCATTGCAAGGTTCGTTTCCTCTTCCAGGAAATAGCCCTGGGAATATTATTTGAAGTTTTTATTGCATATCTTCATGGCGGGAAAGGCCTCAAATATCCAAATCTACAAACAATAATAACAAACATTAGTAATTGTTAAATAATTACTTATAATTTTGGAAACATTATATAAAAATTCTTACCTTAAAGGCCCAAATAAAGCCTGTCAAAGTGTATTTGGAACCATCGCCATGCAAACTTTTTCGATCATCCAAGGCAGACGATAACTTATTCCATGTAGCTTTCCATAATACGAGCCCCACGGAAACATGTTCCACACATTTAGGTCTTCTACCAATTTGATTAGATCATTTGGAATAGGTTGTCTGGCCTCTCTGCCTAAAAAGCCGGCATGCAAAGAATTAGAAGGCATACTCGGACAACGTCGACGTCATCCATCCGAGTAAAACCATCTTTATTATTCAAAATCTTGTCAGGTCTTCTACGTGTAGACTCGGCCTCTCCAGCTCAGGGAAAACCCGGGATAGCCATGATGGGCGGGTATGTGTCTAGTGTACCGACCTACATCATCGTGTCCGAAGCGTAGACCGGTGATTAAGCAAACTCCTCCCGCCCAAAACACGTATACGCCGGTGGAAAATCAAACCATATCTTCATCACGACGTTGTATAGTCTCTGGTAGATCTCTAGTCATGGTTTGAAGAACAGGTGTGTCAACATCACATCTCCACCGGGATGTTGTACTTTCAGCCATGGCCCGAAGCATGTATCCTCAAACATTTTTCTTTGTGTAGGTGAAAGCTTCGACGCAATTGTTTTGGCCAGGCTGACTTATTTCTCAAGGTCAATTGAGCCGAATAAAAGTTCTACAAAAACAATAAACATACTAAATTAGATATACCAAAACTACACTGTGAAGATACCAAAAACAATAATAAACATAAATATAGTAGTTTATTCTTCAAACTTAAATATGCAACACTGTGAATTTCGTACTTGTCTTTGTTTTTTGGTTGAAGTAATGCAATTCATTCAAGTTTCAATTTGCAGAAGAAGAATAGTTTCTGAAAATGAAAATCGCAACACGAAAATGACTATCGCAACGAGAGAATCGCAACGCGAAACTAAAATCGCGTTGCGATTTGCATTTCGCGTTGCGATTCTTGGTTGATTTAATAAGCAATCTAAGTGAAATGGTTAATCTATTATTGAAATTACCAGTAAACCTATCATCAATTTCAATATGAAAAACCTAATAATGCAAAATTTCAAAAAGAAAATAATTAAAAAACTAACCCTCGTTGGTTGATTTGGTTGATTTTCCATTTCTGATTGTGAGGGTGGCTCTGAGAGATTTAGATAGACGGATTTCGCCGGAGATGGAGACGGATTTCGTCGGAGATGGGTGAGAGAGTGAGAGATGGAGATGGGACTGAGTTGTGATTTTAGGTTTTAGGTTATGAGTTGCGATTACGGGATATACTGTGGACAGTTCAGTGTTCCAATATATTTATATTCATGTTTGGAATTTAAAAATAAAATACTTGGCCAGGATACTAATGACGCTTTGAAAATCGCATTGCGATTATGTATTATCGCGTTGCGAAAGTCAGTATCGCGTTGCGAAAGTAAGTATCTCGTTGCGATTTTTTATTATCGCATTGCGATAGTCAGTATCGCATTGCGATTTTCCCAATTCGCGTTGCGATTTACTTATTCGCATTGCGAATTTCCCAATTCGCGTTGCGATTTACTTATTCGCATTGCGAATTGGGAAAATCGCAACGATACTGTAGACCATCGCAACGCGATTTTCAACTATCGCATTGCGAAAATGCAACGCGAATTTGCGATAATGGAGATCGCGTTGCGAATTAGCGATCGCATTGCGATTTTGTTGGTCATTTTGGCAAATCCGGAAAAAGTTGGTTAAAATCGTATATTATATGGGATTTTTGGTCACTGAGGTTATTTTCTCTTAATTAAATTATATTTTCCCTTAAACTCCACACATTGGTTTTTAGAAAAAACATGGCAGGTGTTAATGCTTTAATAAAAATCCCAAATTGCTTGGATTTTGTCTCTCTCTTCCTTAAACCATGACCCGCAAGCAAATATAAGATGTATTTATATTCTAGGATAAATTACATAACTAATCTCTTAACTATCATTTTATTTGGTTAATCAAAATCAAATAATAATTTTTTTATATTCTGATGATTTATCGTTAAAAGTAAATAAAATTATTAATATGATAATTTTTTTATCAATAACATAATATTACCTTATAACAATATTACTTTGTAATAATGAAAAAATTATCAATATCATGAATGAGGAAAACAAAATTAAAATATAGTATTTAAAAAATTAATATTTAAATGAACAAAATAATATTTGGATAAAGTACACATAATCTTTAGGGTGATATTTGTTGAGTCTTTTGACTATTAAAAGTTACAAAATGGTATTTCGACTATAAGATGTTGTTTTGTTGAGTCTCCCGACTATTAAAATTTACAAAATTCTCACTCAATTATTTATTATGTTCCAAATTCATCCTTTTCCGTAAACAAATTGATAACAATTTGAGTTGGGTGTTAACTTGTTGACTGAGATATGATAATTTTTTAGATTTTAAGATCAAATTTTATCATATCTCAATCATCATGTTAACATCTAACTCAGACTACTGTCAATTTTTCAACAAAAAATTAAGTATAAATTCATATAAAATTCGTGATTTAACCTAATATTTTTATATTTTCAATTTAATTTAGATTATAAATATTATTAATATAATAGTTATCATTTTTTTATTCTCTCTATTCTTTAAGAATTTATCCTAATTAATTAAGTATAAATTCGTTTTATACTTCTGACTTTTGGTAAATAATCTTAACATAAAAATTTTATACATACATATAATCTCGAACTCATGACCTACTTAAATAATATCAAACTATTTATTAAACTAATCCGGATGGTAATTTTTCAAAGAAAATATCAGCATGGATATTTTATTGTCTTGTTTCCAGATCTTTAAAACGCAAGAAGAAATAAGATTGAACTTTTGATCAAAGGAAGTTGTTTTCCCTTAGAGTAAAACCTTTGTTGAAACATTAGCAAGGCCAAGAGACGGCCTTCTCTCACTTTCTTTAATCAACAAAATAATTTACGAGAAAACACAGCCCAGATTTTCTCTCATTTTAACTCACTCCATCTTACTCACCCCAACTTGGTTCATACCCATAAGATTCCTACCCAAACACATACCCAATGAACTCTTCTGCTGCACCATGTAATTCCTCACCTCCGCCCTTATCATCTCTTGCATCACCGCCATAAACTCCGCACTCAGCCCCGTCACCCCACTTCCCCTTTCTTCATTCCTCATCTGAGTTGACTCAGCAATCGGGTGAGTTGACACCTCGCATGACTCTGCACCCGGCAAACACAGACTCAGTGAAGTCGGGGGGTCGTTAGAAGACGCCGCCGCCTCCATCCCGGCTGTCGTAACATTGACATCAACGTTAACTCCGCCTGTCCTCGGAATGGGCTTGTACACGTGCGAGGATGACAAAACGGGAACACTGGAATCGCTAACATCGGATCCCGATGGGCATCCGGCACTCACCGGTCTTTTCAACGGTTGCTGATCTTCCCCTCCCGGATTACCATCATACAAGCAGCACTTACGTTTAAGCGTGGAGTTCCAGTGGTTTTTAATGGCGTTGTCGGTACGGCCGTTGAGGAGTCGAGCTATGGTGGCCCACTTGTTACCGAACCTGGCATGAGCTCGGATGATAGTCTCGTCTTCTTCCGGTGTGAAGGCGCGGTGCTCAACTTGGGGAGACAGTTGGTTGCACCATCGGAGGCGACAGGACTTACCGGATCGGCCTGGGATAGATTTGCTGATCAAAGACCAGTTTCTGGGGGCCATGTTTCTGTACCAGCTTCTGGAGCAACTCATCTTCTTCGGGGCTCCATGGACCTTTGATCCGATCTATTTCATTTCTGTTTGATGTGCTTGTTACATCCATGGAATCAGATTTAAAGGCATGCAAAAGGGCAGATTTTGATCTGCAATTTTTCTCTTCTTTCTTCTTTCTTCTTTCAGTTTAAACTATAGAGGGAGATAGAGAAGAAGAATATATAAGAGAGAAGAGGGAAATAACCGGTTAAACAGTGAAGGGTAAAGGGAGGAGAACCAGTTGTTCCTGTTAAACGGTTGGATTAAGGGGGTTTGGGATACAGCTGGCTAACGGACACGCGTCACATCTGAACCGCACTGATTTACATAAGTCACTCTCTCTTAATTTCGGCAATTTTACCGAAATATCATCTTGACAGATAATTATTATCTTTCAGGCATTCTTTCTCCTAATTTTATCGATCTAGCACCATTTCTTATAAGGCATGGATTTTTAGGGTTTTGTCCGAGCTGCCGCCACATCATGAAGGACGCGGATGGGCATCCACGTCTTATCCTAGCTAGCGCCACATAATGATAGACGTGGATCACCATCTGTACCTTTTTGGGATTTTTTACAAATGCCAGTAAGGCGTAGATATCCCAACGGTTCACACCTCCCACATTAATACCACATCCTGCTAAACCCCCATCCCCTCTCCCTATAAATATTATTTCCCCTCTTCATTCAAACACAAACCAAACACAAACATCCAAACCCTCTCAAAGCTCAAACATTCTCAAATTCTCTCAAAGCTCAAATTGTATTAAGAAGGTAAAATATTTTATTGTATTATAATAAATTAATAATTTATTATTTTATTAAATTTTATTATATTAAGTTTTTATTAATTTTTACAGTTATAAAATGGAAGATGGTTTGTTACGTTTAGATGGATATCATATCTCGAGGCATTTTGCTAATACATTAACAATTTTAAATTCTATTTTAATTTTAATTATTGTTAATATTTTATTTATTTAATTTGTTTAGTATTAGTTTATATTTTAATTTCTATAATATTTATTAAATTAGAAGAGAGACATTATATTAGATCCCTTCATTCGTAATCTTAAGTTAGAGATATCTACCCATGTATGGCTGTATTTAGTCAATGTTGGATTCAGTTACGTAGCAAAATATGAAGGACACTATAACCTTGAATCCAAACTAATTTCTGCATTAGTTGAGCGGTGGATATCAGAAACACACACATTTTATCTTTCGTGTGGAGAGTGCACAATTACGCTGGAGAATGTTTTTATGCATTTGGGGCTTTCGGTAGATGGAGATGTGATTTCTGGGGTGGCGCATGGTGACTGGAATTCATTATGCGAGGAGTATCTTGAAAGTGTCCCACCTAATTTCAATTGTGGTCGAATTTCTTTAAATTGGTTGGATACAACTTTCAAGCATTTGAGTGGCAACGCCTCCGAGGAACAAGTTAAAATATATGCATGAGCTTGCATACTACATCTCATATGAGGGCTCCTGGTGCCGAACAAATCACGCAACCAAGTTCATTGTATTTGGTTGCGTCACCTCGTAGATTTTCATCATGTTGGCACACTGAGTTGGGGATCCGCAGTTTTGGTATTTCTGTATAGAGAAATTTGTCGAGCTACTGGCTATAGAAAAATGCTATCAGTGGATGTCTCCTTCTGCTTCTTTCTTGGGCACAGTATCCCATGCCATTTTTATGTCCGGTGGTGAAAAATCCATTAGTCTTCCCTCTGATATGTTATATTATTGTCGAGTGGCATCCGACTGATCACGTGCTCCGCCAATTTGGTTTTGCACAATCTATTCTGGAAACACCTAAGAATCTCGATGATTTACATATCATCAATAGACGGGGCAAAAAAGAAGTTGATTGGCTACTAAAGCACTATAAGTGGGTAATGATATGGGAGGATCGATGTGGGCGCATTCCCCGTACATAACCCATTTATTTGGATCATTACTCGGTTGCAAATGACTATTATGAGTGGTTCAATAGGAACGAGAAATCATTCATACTTTTCGAGGAAGCACGAGGCGGGAACATTCATTGATGTCGACAAAGACGTCCACCGTCACAGCATCATCGTCCCCCGACTCGTGGACGAAGAGCAGTCACTTCCGGCTCGTCCTCAACTGCAGCATCTGAACCTTCATAGCAGCCACCGTCTACACTTATGTACATTCCACAGCCGTTTTAGATGGCACCACAGCCATATCAAATGGCACCACAACCATTTTATATGCCACTACAGCTAGGTCACATACCACTACTTCTATACCAGATGTTGCCACTGCCGCAGAGTTATATAACCCTTCCTGGCGGATATTATAGTTCCATGTTTGCATATTCAACTTGGGTTTATATGTTGGTTATTTGGCGGGTGAAGCTTCACTACATGCACAGACACCTCATGTACAGTTTTTGCACTCATGGATGTCGGTCTTTTTGTAGTTTTCACAGTTTTCTATGAGCAGTGGGATATTCAGTCATACACCTCCAGGGTCCTTATTCTATGGAGGTGTTATATCTTCATTCGTCCCTCATCAACAAAATGTATCTACTCCTGATTATGATGATGATGATGAGAGTGAGGAGTTAGAACAAGTTATACAAAGAAATCTTCCTCAAGACAGATAGCCACCGTCCTGCGGAACACATTTAAGACACAGTCATCGATATAGTCATACACTTCATTATTTTTTATTTACCAACAATTGTAAATTTTTTATTTAATTATTTACTTTTATTTATTTTGTTTCTTAATTTTTTTATTATATCGTTTTCTTGTTTAATTAATCGTATCATTCATCGTTCTTTCCTCCCAACTCTTGAAGTATGGACTCAAATGTTTCAGGTTGTAGTTCGTAATCTAAGCATCCAATGTAGAACTTACTAACTTTGTTTCCATAAAAAATGAAAATGATTGAGAAATAAAAATAACATTTTTGACATACACGTACGCACAAGTAATTGGCGCTCATCATTCTTCTTGAACTTTCCATGATAGTTTGAAGTAATGTGTCGGATACAGTACTGATGTTGGACATATGGTGGTTGCCACATTGGACCCAAAGAATTCATTGTTGCTTTGATCTCAGCTTCGCGATCTGAAATGACACAAATTTTTTTCATCGTGATAACATGTAAGCGTAATTTTCTGAGGAAAAAACCCAATAATCTGTATCTTCTCCTTCAACAAGGGAAAAAGCAACTGGAAGTATGTTGCGATTATCATCTTAGACAACTATCAGTAGTAAACTTGCTTGTATTTTTAATACAAGAATGTCCCGTCGATTTGGACCACAGACTTGTAGTATTTCACAACATTAATGCACTGTGGGTAAGTCCAAAAAAGCCGATAGAATTGACATCGATCGCAAAACACTCGATCATTGTGGTATGTATGGAAAATTTCAAAGTCGATAATTGTCCTAGGATTCAATTTGCACACTACCCTAAACCAACTTGATAGTTTATTGTAAGATGCATCTCATTCCTCGTGAAGTTTTTTAATGGCATTTTGCTTTACCTTCCATGTTTTCCTGTATGAGACGGTATATTCATACTGCGATTATATAGTTGAAATCAGCACAACAATAGCTATATAGGAGCTTGTTTTTGCCATGAACATGATGGTTTGACAGATAATGTCGGAGTCCAAGTTAGGATAATCCTGGTTAATTCCTCCAGCACAGTATGTGTGAGGACCGTTGTATATCATTAGTTCTCATATATTGTTTTTCCTCTTCCTATTTGATACGCGAACCATCCAATTGCATCCGTTATCACATTGGACACAGTGGCAGACATATTTTTCGGTGGTAGAGCGGTCGACTCTGGACTGAACATAATTACGAATGTTGTAATTCTTAATTATCATTATCGTTTCTTCTTTGCATGGAAACTCTATTCCTTTATATAACTCACCATCATTGACTGAAGAGTTAAATACATAGTCACTGACATTAGACATATCCACAAATTCTGACCCGTATATTGCACCATAGTCAACTTCATACATGTGTGTTGGAGGTTCAGTGTGTATCGTATTTGTGGGAACTTCATCTACATCATCATAATCGGAGTCTATGTTGAACTACGATGATTTTGGCTGAACGAATAGTCCAATATCAACACTATCCGCACTTGGCTCACGATGAGGTTCTTCAGGTGGAGATGAGGGTTCCTCCAAGATGTTGACATTTAGGTCAAACAAGGTGGCAGTTGCATGTCTTCCCCTTGAACTTGAAGGCATCTCGACGATGAGGTCGAAGAAACTCGCAATTGAATGCCTTCCCATAGAGCTTGAAGGCATCGGGTCAAATGGGTACTGCACAAATTGATGCGTCGAGGGCATCTCCATATTCAGGTCAAAGAAATTGGCAGATGAATGTATTCCCCTTGAACTGGACGCAATGTTGCCATACAGATTGTTTGTGGAGCCACCTCAATACATATCGTAATAAGTTTATGATGAATGTCTCCCCATTGAACTTGATGGGATGGCATCATGATGTGGATTTCCCATTAACGAGTTAAAATCATTACATATTACTTGAGTTGGGCTGTCAACTTGATCAACTTGTTGAGCCAACCCATAGTAGGAGCATAATGACATACCACAAACAACACACACTTCAATAAATTTCACATACATCTCTGTATCAGCGTCTGAATAATGATTTTGAGAATCATCCATCATAGCAACATCATCATCGTTGGATAGTTTGAACGTTGTATAAGTTAACGGAAATAATGCGGTTGAAAATCTGTACTGAAGTGAGGACAGTCTTCTAGTACTTCCAACATGAACCTTCCTTGAAATTTTCGTTATCAACTCCTAAAGAGTTATGTTTCTCGTTAAGGATATTCTGACAGAATGATTTGATGCGAAGGCAATGTCGGTTTCATCTTCCCGAATTTCTCCATCATAGTAAACAATAGTTGAAATACGCTTCATTCTGAGAGTTTGAAAGATTGAGAGTCTTATATCTGCAAAAAATAATAGCTGAAATACACCTAATTAGATAAATAAATATAAACTAATAAAAAAATTTAAAAATATTCACAATAATTTAAATAATATAATTTTATATTGTAACTGTATCGGCAAAAAATGTCTCGAGGTATAATTCCACTTTCCAATTTTATAACCGCAAAAATAATACAAAATAATTAGTACAATAATTTT